TTCCAAATTTTTGTGGTCTGTCCACACCTGGAAAGGGATTTTGTTGCCTTCAAGGAACTGGCGCCACGTGAGTAATGACCAACGTATCCCGTATGCCTCTTTCTCCCACACGGGCCAGCGCTGTTCCGTTTCGGTGAGTTTCTTGGATGTATATGCACAGGGTTGCAATACCCCTTCATTGTTTTCTTGTAATAGTACAGCCCCCACTGCCACATCACTTGCATCCGCCTGTATTACAAAGGGCTTATCCATGTCTGGGTGCCTCAGTACTGGTTCGGCAGAAAAAAGTCTCTTTAATCTCTCAAACACTGCTTGGCACTCCATTGTCCATGTTAGTGGCTGGCTAGGTTTTACTGAGGATGCTCCCTTTGTTTTTAGTAAGTTCGTGAGGGGCAGGGCTATCTGGGCAAATGAGGGGATGAATTGGCGGTAAAGGTTTGCGAAGCCCAGGAAACTTTGCAGTTGCTTTCTTGTGCGGGGTGGTGCCCATTCTAATACTGGTCTGACCTTCTCTGGGTCCATTTCAATGCCCTGTGGGGATATGCGATAACCTAGGTAGTCTATCCTTTCCTGGTGGAATTCGCATTTCGAGAGTTTGGCATATAGGTGGGCGGCTCGCAGTTTCTTTAAAACCGCTCTGACTAGATTGACATGTTCCTCTTTTGATTCGGTGAAGATAAGAATGTCGTCTAAGTAAACCAGGACCCCTTTAAATAGGTGCTCCCTTAGAACGTCATTGATTAATTGCATAAATACTGCGGGGGGCCCTTGTAATCCAAATGGCAAGACTTTGAATTGGTAGCACCCCACTGGGCAGTTAAATGCGGTCTTCCATTCATCCCCTTCCTTAATTCTCACGTGATAGTAAGCTTCCCTTAGGTCTAGTTTAGTAAACATTTTCCCTTTCGAGAGGTGTGACAACATGTCCTTCATGAGGGGCAGGGGGTATAGGTTGCTTTCACTGATTGTATTCAGGGACCTATAATCCATGCATAAGCGTAAAGAGCCGTCCTTCTTCTCCCTAAAGAGGATGGGGACAGCCACTTTAGGCTTGGCTGGCTCAATGAACCCCCTTTCTAGGTTTTTCTTTATGAATCTTTCCATTTCCTCCTTCTCCTTTGGGCTCATGGAGTATAATCTGGGCTTCAGGAGTTTTGCCCCAGGCTTGAATTCAATGGCACAGTCCGTGGGTCGGTGGGGGGGGAGCTCATCCACCCTCTCCTCACTGAAAACCTCAGCGAGATCTCTGTATTCCTCTGGTAGTCCCTTTTCCTCTCCCATGGATGCTTTTTCCGTTCTTAATTTTGGTAGCTCCCCTTGGGATTTTAAGTCCATAGGGTCCCCTTTTGGGAAATTGATTTCTGCCGTCCTCCAATTCACCTAGGGGTTCCATTATTTTAACCATTCCATCCCTAGGATCATCGGGCATTCCATGCCTTGGGTCACTACAAACGTTATGTCTTCCTCATGTTTGCCCAGGGAGAGGTGTATTGGTAAAGTGGCTAGGGTAGCTGGCACCTCCCCTGCTATGGACCCATCTAACTGGCCAAATGAGATTGGTTGTTCCAGTCTCCTCGACGGAATGCCCAGATTTCCCACTAGCATCGGGCTAATGAGGCAGCGGGTGCAGCCAGAGTCTATTAAGGCTTTCACCTTCACAGCTTCGGGCATGGGGGGAATTAATATAGTCACTGTGTTGAGGATGGGTGCGATGGGTCCACTTACCAGGGGTTTGCCCTCCGAGCTGTCATCTGAGGCGTCCACTGGCCCTGCGGTGTAGGCTGGAGTTTTTTCCCCCTGATGAGCGGAGGTGGGGGATTCCATGGCCTCCATCATTCTCATGGCAGGTTCTTTTGGCTTAGCTGGAGACTTCCCGGATTTGCTGGCCGGTGATCTGTCTGGGTTGTGCTGGGGGGCTTTTGAGCGGCATTCTACAGCCCGATGCCCCTTTCTCCCGCACTTGAAACACCCCATTTGCTTCTTGGCCATAGCCGATGGTTTCATTGGTTCACGTGTCAACTCAGGCGGTGAGCGGCTCCATTGTTTTCCTCGGCGGTGCCTCTTCAATATGTCGATCTCTGCTTCCTCTGCCAGGATGTACCATTCGTCAAGTTGGTTTGGGTCCCCAGTTTGCTGGCAATGGCCCGGAATTCTTGCGTTTATTCGGCTACTGGGCGTTTGCCTTGCCTCATCGTTTTGATCCTTTCGCGGGCTTTGCGATCAGCCAGGGGGTCCTCAAATCGCCTTCTCAGAGAGGACATGAAACGGTTGAAATCGTTGAGCTCTGGGGCATTGGAGTCGTGCAAGTTCACCATCCAATCTGCGGCCGGCCCGTCCAGGGCAGATTGCACGATCTGGATACAGGCTTTGTCGCTGGGGATGTGCCGTCCGTATTCCTCCATGTAGCTGAGGACTTGGGTTAGGAAAAACCCCAAGCGTGTCGGCTCCCCCTTGAATCTCACATCCAGCGGTGGGAGTCTTTTAATGGATCGGTGCCTTCATTGTCGGTGGTAGTATCTTCCATCCAGATCGCCATCTGCGGGTCGGCGGGGAGTGGGGACTACTGGATCAGCGGACGTCCCCGGGGCTGCAGGTTCCACTTCCCCCTTGGTGTCTCTCCAGTTGTGGCTCCAGGAGCTGGGGTGGCCATAGGGCTCAGAATTCTCCTCTCCTAGGGAGCTGAGGGTTCTCTTCATCAGGTGGATAGCTTTCTCTAGGATCCAGCCCGAGTACGGTCCCCAGCTCCCTTCCTCTTCACTTGCGTGCAGGGATTTCCCCATCTGCTTCCATTCTGGTTGGTTGGCCCCCCGTCTCAGGGTCATCTTTCTTGATTTCTTTTCCCACTCGCCTTTCTTTCCAATGCCTATTGACCACCGAAGTTTGTGGTCCCGTGTCTCCACCACCTCTTCTCCTGAGGAATCTGACCTCTCAGATCTCAACATCTGGCAGGGTTTCAGTCAGGGCAGCGGCTCCCTTTCCAGGGAGTTTTCTCCCTTCCCTGCTCCATCGTCTGACATGGTAATTTTTGCAAAGTCCCCCGGCAAGGTTCTCCCTTCCAGGTGGACTAATTCTGCAGGTCCTGTCTAATGTAAGGACCCACCCCACTTTGCATCTTAAGAAGACAGAACTCTTGTAATATTTCTTCCAACAGGCATCTTTATTAAGAGAAGATGGTTGCAGGCATTCTAGACAGGACCTGAGGGCCCACCCCTACCATTCAAGGTTTAAGTGTTCCCAAGCAGCCCCCCACCCCACCGTCCTTCCAGCGACAATCCCAGGCATTACATTTCCACCCCCTTTTCCTCACGGCCGGTGGAAGGGAGACTTCAGAGAGGAGTACATGAAAGGTGATGGCCATATTCTTATGGTCAGTCCTCTTGGTGAGATCCACATTCAGTCCCTTTGAAGTTTTAATGAAGGAAGTGAGAGCCATAAAACCCCTTTGCTCATCCCCCTTCCCCTTCGTAGTATGACAGAATCCAGAGAGGGCAGAAATGGGGTTTTCCATAGTTGATAACTAGAGATGAAATATAATTGGATTCTGACACCCCCCCTTCTTTATGGCAGCTCGTTATATAGTGGAATATACTATAATATCACCCCTAGTCAGTGGTGGGTTTCAAATATGTCAACAACCAGTTCTCTGTGTGGATGCCGCTTCCGGAAGTCCATTCTGGCCCTGGGCCAAAACTCAACAAAAAATTAGGTACCAGTTCTGCCGAACTGGTGCGAACCAGCTGAATCCCACCACTGCCTCTAGCCCTTCTTTTCATTAAACTAGACATACCCATTTCCTGCAATCATTCTTCGTATGTTTTAACCTCCAGTCCCTCAATCATCTTTGTTGCTCTTCCCTGCTCTCTTTCTAGAGTCTCAACATCTTTTTTATATCGTGATGACCAAAACTGGATGCAATATTCCAAGTGTGGTCTTACCAAAGCATTATAAAGTAATATTAACACTTCACATGATCTTGATTCTATCCCTCTGTTAATGCAGCCTAGAACTGCATTGGTTTTTTTGGCAGCTGCAGCACACTGCTGGCTCATATTTAAGTCATTGTCCACTAAGGACTCCAAAATTCTTCTCACAGTTATTACTATTGAGCCAGGTACCACCTATTCTATACCTGTGCATTTAGTTTTTCTTGCCTAAATGTACAACATTACTTTTCTCATCATTGAATTTCATTTTGTTAGATAGGGTCCAATGTTCAAGTCTGTCAAGATCCTTCTGTATCTTGAGCCTATCTTCTGGAGTATTGGCTATTCCTGCCAGCTTGTTGTCATCTGCAAATTTAATGAATTCTCCTTCTATCCCCTTATCTAAATCATTGATGAAGATATTGAAGAGTACTGGGCCTAGGAGAGAGTCTTGGGGTATCCCACTGCATATTTCCCACCCTGTATATGCAGTTCCATTCAGGACTACACATTGAATGCGGTTGGTCAGCCATCTGGTGGTGATGCTGTCTAACCCACATTTTTCTATCATATTAAGTAGTAGGTTGTGGTGTACTTTATCAAATTGCTTACTGAAGTCCAAGTAAATTATATCTACAGAATTTTGCTGGTCCACTAATTTTGTCACTTGGTCAAAGAATGCAATAAGATTTGTCTGGCATGATTTATTTTTGACAAACCCAGGTTGGTTTTTGGTTATGACTTTGTTTGCCCCTAGATGTTCGTATAGTCACTACTTGATTATCTTTTCCAGAATCTTCTCAGGCATTGATGTCAGGCTGATAGGTCTGTAGTTTACTGGTTCCATTTTTTTCCTTTTTTGAAGATAGGAACTACATCAGCTCTCTTCCAGTCCTCTGATCATTCTCTGGTGCTCCAGGAACTTCGAAAGATATGGTTCAGTGGTTCTGAGATCACTGAGATCATTTTGAATCTACCTTATAGAGAGTTACCTAAACTGAGGCTTGCAGACAGCACTGAATTCATTGGATCTATTTGTGGTGTCACTTTTTGCCCATAATCAAATAGCAGCTTTGCCTGTTCTCTTTTACCAAATCCGCATTCTGCATTGTTCATATTCACTCTCCGACATGTTTTCTCCCTTTCTGTCTTTAAAAAGGGTCAACCAGACATGTCCCCAAAAAATCAAGTTGGCAGTCTGGACTGCATGATTGAATTTGTGATGCACACAAAAAGAGTGGGCCCTTGTTCACATAGTCTTGATCTCCACCTTCACTTTTATTGTAGCACAATAGATATAAATAAAACATTACAAAGAAAAAGCAGAGCAACATTCCATATTTCAGGTAATGTGCTCAGTCCCTTGCTAGTTTGTAGTTTGAGACAAAGAGGTACAGAGTTATGAATGCTAATACTTTTATTATAGGTTTACAGTAATAGAATCTTGTGTGTCTGGATTTATTTCCCCCCCTCCCTGTTTTAGTCTCCGTGAGAATTAGGGAGGGTTAGCTTTCTCAAATTACATTTCTGCCTGGGATTCAAATTTCTCTTATCTGGCTGTTATCTTCTTTGTAGCTCTTCCTCCTATTCCTCAAGGTTATTCCTATTTCCCATTACAGGAAGGGACTGTCTTTCTAATTAAACCTAGTCATTCCATGGGAGTCTTTGGGGGTATGATGATTGGGTAACGAACGGCCAATCAAAGTAGACATTATAGAAGAAAGAGGAAATTGTGAAATGTGAACTTTTGAAGTGGAAGTGGAAGGACAGGTCTGAGAAAGGCTCAGAATCTAGTCTAATATTTTAATTAGGTATATGCTTATGATTAAGCATACAGATAGTCCTTACAACCATAATGGAGCCTGCCCTTCATTGTCATCAGCCATGATGGTTGTAAAATGGGTTGGTTAGGTGACCACTGGAGGGGGGTGCATTAGAACTTCGGGTCATAGTTAGCCCAAAGTAGGTCTGTCATAACTTTGAACAGTCGCTAAGTGACTGTTGATAAGTTGAGGACTACCTGTACTTAAGTAGATAAAATCTACTTACCTTCACAACAACCCTGTGAGATAGGCTGGACCAAGAAAGAGGGCTCGACTTAAAATCATCCAGGAAGCTTCTGTGACTGAGCAGGGACTAGATCCTGCATTTCCCTGCTCTTGGTCCTACATCTTGACCACTACAATGCACTGACTTCTCTCTTTTAGCATAGAAAATGCTTCCATCTGTCCAGCAGGCAGGAATATATCTAGGCCCAGACTGAGTGGAATCAAGTGACTTTTGATAAACCATTTCAATTTATTTAAGAAAAGTCAGTTTATCTCTTTAAGTCAGGGGTCTTTACAACTTGGCCCTTTTATGACTTGTGGACTTCAACTTCCAGAATTCCTCAGCCAGGAACGCTGGCTGAGGAATTCTGGGAGTTGAAATCCACAAGTCATAAAAGGGCTAAGTTTGAAGACCCCTGGTTTAAGTGTTAATCAAGGGCTGTGCTTTCCTGTATCTCCCCCATGTTCCCTGGACATAAAGAAATATAGGGGGTGGGGAAGAAAAGAGTGTCTAACCAGAACACAGCTTAGGGGAACAACAGGGCAAATGCTGTAGAGCCTGTAGAGTTCTCATTGACTTCTCTGAATTGGTTTAATTTTAAAAGAGCATAAGGAAAAGACACCCATAATTAGAAGGGTATTTGACCTGTGGTAGAGAATCAAAGGAAACCAGTGCAATGAGGGCCTGTATGGTTATGGGGCCCAGTTTGACCTCTCTGTGTTAAATGGAAGGACCTTAGATCTGCAGATCTACATTGTCCTTGTACCCCACATGCCCTATTTTAATACCTAATGCTAGCAGAAGCACTACCAGTGGAAGATTTATACCAGAAGAACATGGTGCAAGCAAAACAGGGCCTCTAGAGTGTTACTTCCCACCCACCCCCATCCCTGCCAGGGTTGAAATCTCTCTGCTGGATGGTAGATGGATGCCTCAATTACAACTTCGCCCCACTTGGACAGCTGTCGAAGGAGATTAAATACAGCTCTCATCGTGAACTTGTTTCCACCCGCTTCTTTTGATTTGTCTCTTTAATTTTTGCTTTTAAAATATTAAGTAGTGCTGAGTAACCTCACTTCAGCTCCATTTAGAAGGGGATTATTACAAGTCTGCCATGTGAGCCTTCAGGAGGGGAAAAAATGCCTCCCACCTTGTTAGTTTGATACATGCATCCTGAAGGTGCTGTGCCCAGGCACCTGTGAATAATATCCCCAGCTTTTGCCCTGGAGGGAAGCCACAACAAGTCACAGCAGCCCAACTGAGTTGCATTCAGCATAATTTATTTAAAAGAATCTTCTCTGCCAGCCAGACTCTATCAGGCAGCAGATGTGGGGAGAAGACTGAATATATGTATGCACAATAGCAGAAAAATCTCTGTTTTACATTCTGAGCTGAACTTTGGGGAAAAATAATCCTCAATTTGGTAACACAGCTGAGTATTCACCAGGAGGACAGGCTTGTTCTTTTAACGCAGCGATGTCCAACCTTGGCAACTTGAAGACCTGTGGACTTCAACTCCCAGAATTCCCCAGCCTGCCACAAGTCTTAAAAGTTGCCAAGGTTGTTTTAAACATTGCCAACATCATTTATAACACTTATTGACACATTGCACCATAATCACTAATCTCAAATCATAGACCAGCACTGTTGCTCTGTTATTTGGCGTGCATTTTCAGTGAGTTTGATTTTAGCATGTACATTTCACTTTATGCTTCCATGTACCCCTCGGCTGATGCAACCCATCATTCCTGTGATGCGTTCCTTGTGGCCTCTCTGCAGTCCTCCAAATGCGAATGCAGCATCGGAGGTCCCAAGAGCAGCTCTCCGAACGACACTTAATTCCAGGTGAGCCTCGTAAAAACCCAAGAGAATCAGATGGCAAACAAGATGCGGGAGGAGAGGAGAGGAGTGGATGCCTGGGAAAAGAGTTGGCATCAACATCAGAATATTAATGCAGAATGCTTTCCTGCCATGAAGGGAAAGCTGCACCCTTTGAATTTCTGCTTACTATAGGTAGTCCTTGACTTACAATCAGTTGCTTAGTAACTGTTCACAGTTTTGAAGGACATTCATAGGGGCTACTTAACAACCCGGATTCGAAGTTATGATAGTCAGGCCCGCCCTCCCAGGTAACATGACCAAATTTGGGGCGCTTGCACACCAAGCTACATTTACGATTGTTTGCAACTGCCAACAGTTATGTGATCGTGTTTTATGATGGTTTTGCTGAAAACTGCAGTTACTTTCAGTTTTTGGCAAAAATGCACCCACAGCGAACCATTAATGACCATGGCATTTGCTTAGCAACTGCCACAAAAAAGGTTGTAAAATCAGGTGGGTCACATGATCAATCTATTTTACAACCATCACGAGTTACAGCCATGATGAGCCAGTTCCATTACGGTCATAAGTAGAGGACTAGCTATACACTAACGAATTTCAGCAGAAAACAAAATCAGTAACACCACTGCTTGGATTCCTTGATTTCTGGGGGACACCCAAGAGAGGACTTCAGCTAACCCAATCAAGAGAATGTCCAGTCAATGCAAGTTTTGAAAAGTTACAATTCAACATTTGCTTTGATTTCTACAACGGAAGCGCCAAAATGTATCTCTCCTACCAAGAGCCATAACAACAGCTTGATCCAAAATGGCTAATAGCATAATGCTAAATGGATGGAAGGATCTCCTTTTTGTCATGCATAATAAGAAATGTTTTTGACAAATGACATTTTAAAAGAGAAACCCCCAAACAATCAGTTCTGTGCCAGACAGCAGATTTTGCAGTCAAATGGAATAAAATACTAAGCCTAAATAACATAGCCATTTTAAATAAATTGAGAATACAAGAGTGGCTTGGGTGAAAACATGTCAAAAGACTCAGCTGGAGGGTTGCGTCCAAGTCTCTCCATTTTCTAGAAGGATTGGGCTACCCTGTATATGCTCCTAAATTTGGGGGAAGCATAGTGATGGATGGCAGAACACTTCCTCTAGGCGCTCATCTGATTTCCCCCCCCCCTTTTTACCCCTCCAGGGCTCAGCAAATCCCTCCCCGCTTTTTCACAGCCTAGTGGGACACAAGGGCAGACCAGGGTGAGTATAAATGGGATTTAAGAATTTTAGCAGCATGAAACAATCACAGGGATTTTCCTGGCATGCTATTGGACAGTCCACTTCCAAGAGTTGGGCTAGCTGTCAATAAGAATGACATCTAAGTAGAGATCCATGTTCTGCATCAGCCATAGCTGCTGGCTTACCTCAAAATGTACATAAGCTTTTCAAACTCTGTCTCCTTTCCCACCACCCCATCTTAGTGAACTGGATAGGACAGACAGACAGAAACTGATATATGCTGATTTAGGCCATTGGTCCATCTTGCTAAATATGCTTATTTCTGCCTTTTCCAATAGAGTGCTTTCCAAATGCAATGAATAAGCACCCACAATTCCCACTTAACATGGAACAAAGTGAAGCCTCCAAGGGAAGTTGATTGTTGTGTAGTATCACTACTCTGAATTGCTAGTGTGATCAACAGTGCATTTCCAAAATCTAGGACAGAGAAAGATAGTTTATGATATCCATGGGTTGGAAACACATGTACTCTCCTATATCCAAAACTTATCTCATTATGTTTCCAGGTGTGTTTATATTACCTATGATATTAGATCTGAACACCAAGTGTAATCTGAATCTCCTTCTTTTAAAGACATGCAGTGGCATCATCCAAATTTAAAATCCTACACAGAATCCCATCAATTCTACTTCTAAAATAGATAGCCATAGAAATAAATTTAGAGACTCATTGAGTTGTCTGATGGAGCAATATACCTGGCATGCCTATTTCATTCATAACATGACTTACTGAAATACACTTGTCTAAACATGGTTAGTGCTCTGTTGAGGAGACCTTATACTTGACTTTTTCATTGTCTTCTCTTGATTGCCCTAGTACAATGTTTCCAAGGCTTGGCACTTTCCAAATGCTGAGGCTTCTATTCCCACAATTCTCCAGCTAGCATTATTATTAAAGAAAATTCTGGAAATTGATATCTATACATTTGGAAGTTT